TGGAACAGCTCCAGTAACTTACCATCCCTAAAAAGATCTCACAAGATCTTCATCACACTGAGTGAAGAGGCACCAGCATGGTGTAAAGAGTGTGAGGTGGTGGTTACCTGTGCTTGCCAACATCTGCATGTATGTGTATGCGTGTGTGAACGTGTGTATGCAGAAAAAAGAAAATTGTACAGGCCGTTTCAACATAAGAACACAAGAAGAAATGACACTGTGAATGGAGACAAAGCGCACATACCAAAGGGAAAAGTAAAGCTGAAATTGCTCCAGCACTGCACATAACATGCGATCAGGCATACCCTGTAAATAACACACAACAGTTAGTCAACATCATGGCTTATATGGTGTACAGTACACTACCCACATCTACAGTACGCTCATAGAGACAGGAATGCCCACCACGTCTGACATCGAGGCATATATGCGACACACTCTGTGAGTAAGTGAGTGAGTGACTGAGGTGTTGTGGAGGAGGATGGGGTGAAGGAGGACCAGCAGACTCACTGTGAGGCTCCTCATTGGTGCATTCATCCCCAGGTCACAGAGGGGTGGAGGAACCAACCAGACAGAGAGATTACAGATGCGGAAAGGAGAACGTCCCCAACAACGGGTTGGTGGTCCTGTGGCAACCATCGGTGATTGGTAGCAGTCAGAAGAGCAGGAAAGGGAAAAAAAAGTAAGAAAACATTTACACATGTGTTGATATGTATTCCACAAAGACATGTAACTGCAAAACGAAAAAAAAAAAAAATGTCCTAGCTAATGAAAATAACAATGGAGTTAAAAAAATACTAGTACTTTCTGTGGTGTCATTCTAATGAGAATAGTCAATGACAAAAGTGAAAAACTGCTAAAACCTGCATTTGTTTTTATACCTATATAGTTACAACATCAATTGATGCTTTCTTATTTTTAGGCAAACTTGTTGAGAGCAACTTTGGAAGGACCAAAGAGCCACTGGAGGCTCCAGAGCCGCAGGTTGAAAACCACTGTCTTGGTGCCTTGCAAGAATGTTCATGAACCTTGATTCTGTTATGTAATAAACCAATGCAAACTAATGCATATTGTGAATGTCAGAAAAACTAAATGTGGTGTTTGTGGTGGTTGTTTTTTTGGGTTTTTCTTACACAAATCTAAAACTGAAAAGTTTTGCATCCATTTATTCACAGTCCTCTAAATCAGTCCTTTGTAGAACCGGTGTTTGTTTGCTGCAACACAAATCATCAGACAGTAAGACATGTTTGTGGCATCAACTTTCAAGTCCTGCCACAAAAATCTCTATTTGATTTATGTAGACCTTGACTGGCCATTTGAACACATGGACTTGAACTAAACCATTCAGTTGAACCTCCACCAACACTAAGGAACTATTAACATAAAAATAATAATTGCATTAATTTTCCTTTTCAACAATAGCAGCTTGTTTGGATTGCCTTTTAAATCAGATATTTTGAACATTACAAATAACCCCAGTCTTAAAGTGTACATTGCTTTACTGCTGATGTTGCTGTGAATCTGTACTAAAAGAATTTAAATCAAGTAACAAGAAAAACTTTGAAAAAAAAAAAATCAATATTTTTCAAACAAAAAACAAAGTTACACCAGCAGTACAAGCAGAACAGTGCAACTGTATCCCTCTTATTCCCTCACATGTTCTTAGCAATAAAAGAAACTGTCCACCCAATAAACCCCATGTAGTTGGAAGCAATTTTCCAGTGTAATTGCAACACTTAACATATGCAGATAGAGACGTGAGGGAGAGTGAAAACAAAATTGCAGGGTCTAAGTGCTATTATGTGGGAGTATAGGTGGCAAAGACTGCAATTACTTTCCCATTTGGAGAGAGGACGTGTTCTTCACTGAGAAAGATGTGATCTCTGGACAAAATAATTGTAACTGTAAGGATTTAAAAAATAAAAATAAAAAATCTAACTTTCCTTGTCGAAGTTTTGTTCGTGAGTCCAAAGAAAAAATTGCAAGTGTACTCTGTTTCTTTGATGCTTCTTAAAAAAAAAAAAAAAAAACTTTTTCCAGCAATGTCATGCAAAGGCTGAGTATTTGCCACTCCTGTTGTTGTCATTGATTTCACTGCTCACCATAAGTCTCACTATATCTACATTATAGTTAAAATGTTTAAGTTCTAGACAAAATATATTACCAATTATAATATAACAGACATATAAATTATTATTATTATTATTATTATTATTATCTATTGTTTTTTTAGCATTTTATTTAGTTTTCAAATTGCATTACATGTTGCGCCGAGGATCAGTGGGAAGTGAAATTTCAATTTAGCTGGAAGTGCTGTATATATAGTAAATTAACAGTAACACTGACTTTGTATAGATATTAAAATCAAAACAACATGTAAATAGTTAGATTTTTCTCAGTTATATATTACTTGCAGAAATAGAAAGATTGTATCTCTTTTACAAAAATCTTATTTTTTAAGCCAATAAAATAATAATTGATCTTTTCTTGACATAAATACAAAGAATTAGGTCATGCTGTACATTTAGTTTTAAAACATATTGCAATTACCTCGATAGTTTTTTTTCTACACTCATCAAATTATGATACTCTCGTAGCAGCCCATACCTAGTGTCACCTGTTAATAAAATAACTATGATTGTTTCATGGTTTAGTAAGTTTATATCCAAAAGGTCCAGTCTACAGTAAAAATTTAACATGTAGTAAAGTTTTCCAGTGTATTTCATTCATTAATAATAATAGTAATTCATTAATATGTTGATCAGAATTGTGGTGGAATCTTGAATCCATTCAAACATCCCCTAGTGGTCATCAAGTAAACTCATGGATCCATTTAAAAATGTTAAATGAATCTTTTCTTTGTTTTGCATTATAACGTTTACGATACTAATGTAAATTATAATGTTGTTGCTTTATGTGACATGTGCACTTGATACGTTGGCCTTCAAAGGAATCGTCTTAATAAAATATGAAACCGAGCAGTTAGCTCAATGCGCAAATTTGCTAAAACAAGTGATAAAGAACTAGAATTCAGTCTGGAGGGAAAATTTGTCAAAGAAAAAAAAAAGTTCCACACAGTATAAATGACAAAAAGTGAACATACACAGCAGGCAAGGGAAACATCTTTGGTATTTTTGCAACATCAAAATGTGAAATATGAATAATACGGGGACGTTTCGAAATATCACAAATTTTAGTTAATATATTCCAAGTGTGATTAATATGCTCTCTGCATGGAAATAATATCCTGCCTAATAGAGTCTCAATCCAGAAGACATCCGCAAATGACATCGAGGGCAGTATTGAAGATGCTTAATCGCACAGTGAATGTTGGAAGCATGTGACAGATGAGAAAGTGAAGAAAATGAGGATTTATTTCCACTGATACCGTCATAAGACTATTAAACATTAATCACGCAAATTGCATGACATTCTAATATGGAGCAGCAATAATATAGGCCACCTCAGTGTGTTAGCAAAATTACTCTGAAGGTTTAGTTGTGATCACCACATATTTTGACATTGGTATAACATGCCGGAAATACAGCAGGTAGAGATTTCTATATTACTAACATAAAAAGAGATTTAAGTCATTTTTTCAACTGTAATGAGATGTTGGAATATTTTCCTTTGATTGTCAGAAGGGTAACAACAATAAATTAATCTTGATTTCCTTATTTTTGGGACATTAGTAATGATGCCAGTTAAATGTAAAACTGATCTTATCCACTGATCTTATTTATCTCTGAAAGGGTCTGAAACTAAGCCATGCTCTGCCATGAGAGAGGGCTGATTGATAGATTTACCCACCAGGTACCGTCTGCATATGGAAGTTTGCTTCATTGTGATTTCTGTAATTTCTGGAGATGTGAGTAAAATAATCCCTTATGGATTTCACTAATTGTATGTTTCACTAATAACAAAAATAAATGATGCCAACTTGGTAGTATGATAAAAGGCCATTTCACTGCTACACTGGACCAACTTAGATCAGCTTTATTTCACCTAGGCCTCTAAAATAAAGACTATTGTAATCAATAAATACATATTTGATACAGAACAGTCATCTGTGATGCTAAGAAGATTAATTATACTGTCTTTGAAAGCAATCAAAAGCTTGATCAAGAACTCAAATTACAATGTCGGAAATCGCAATAAAGGACTTGGTAACTTTTAGATTATGGAATAATGTCTTTAAAGTTTGTTTGTTTTCTTTAACCACACTCAATCTCATTTTTTCTTATTATTCTTTACAATATAAACTATCAAATACAACATATATTTGGGACTGCAATTGCTGACCCACTGTGATTCCTATGCTTAAATCGACACTGGATATTATAAACACAAGACCAGCAGCTTCAGGGGCATTTGATTGAAAGAATATAAAACATATTCATTCTCTTAAAGAAAACTGAAAGAATTTCATCACAAGGACAAGATTACTATGGAAACAATTAGGAAAACAGCTAATATGAGAATAAAACAAGCTAACCACTGGGACTATTTACATCTCTAGGGCAAGTATAAAGCCTAAACAAAGCCAACATTATACGTGACAACCAGCTTAAGACACAATATGCAGCACATAAACAAGAATATTGCATCGAGGCCTACTGCGGAGGATGAGATTCCCTCCACTTCCTGGAGGACCAACAAGCTAGCGCGCAGCAACACCGAGCGCGAGCCGCATCCTACAAACAAAACAGCTGGATGCCACGTTACGTTCGCGACGATTTCAGACAAGAAAAACATTCTAAAGCACTTACGAGACGAGGATTTCCCTTAGCTGCCGTGTCTGGCCCTGTGCATGACATCAGTCGTTCTCTCTGGGCTTGCTCGTGTGGGAGACTGCGGGAGCGCGCAGGATGCAATCACATCAGCTGCGGTGACGCGCAGGCATTGCCAAGGTAACCGCCTCAGCGCTTCCTTTGTGGCTTCACCGCGGTTTGTTTACACCCAGAACCCGGTTCCTTTTGGCAAATCAGCACCTTTGTTATGCCGTTTACTTTAAAATAATGTAATTAAGCTAATTACTTTAGTGACAAAATTGAAGACCAGAAATTAAATGTAATATTTTTGCTTCATACTGAGGGAGGTAAAACTATAGTGACAACCTCTTGAGAGACGTATAATATAGTAAACATACAGTAAACAAAGAAACATAGTACTAAAATATTAACCGCGGAGAGAGCTTCATGTCAAAATATTTGGGATCTTTTTTTTCTTGAATTTAAATAATTTCATGTTAAAATTAACATTGAATAAATATAAAGCACAGTTTATTTATCACACACAATAATCCCCACTTCAAGTTCATGCTACTTTAATAGGAGTTTGTTGACTTTGAGATACACTGTACAGGCCTTGTTATTGTTGCAGTAGTGTGAATCATTCATATTCATGTATTCTACTCAAGTCTTCCACTAACACATGTGCTCATGGGAACCGGTTGTATTGGAACCCCAAAGCATTTAAATTGAGTTAAGCCATTTTTGTGTTCTTCATTCACAACATTTACTGTTCGGGGTCTGGAAGCTGGATCTCATTTGTCATAGATGAAAGGAAAAGCTAGGAACAACAGCTACACCACAGAGGTTACGGGAGAAACCAATGAGGACAAAATGAAACAAAAACAGTCTGCTTTTGATTAAATGTCAAACTGGTGACTTAACTTGTTATTTTGGCAGCTTTTTCCCCACTTTAGCTCCTGCCCAGGACTCCATCAGAGAGTTTGGACTAATCAAAGACACTTGTACGTAAGGAGTGTTGGACTCTGAAGGGACTGAGCCAGTTCGGGCCAGCCTGCTTCTCTTTCTCTCCTTCTCTCCTTTTCTCTTCCCTCTCACTCTCCCTTCCTGTCCTGTCTCAGGAGCGCAAGATTTGGGAAATTCCTTCAAGCTACTTTATTTCAGGTTTCTGAGGGATTTAAACATGCACACTGAGGCTTTTTTGCAGTCAATGCTGGTGCCGTCGTTTCTGATCCTGCTCTCTACCGTTGAGGACACTTTGTTACAGTCGGTAAGGTGAGTTTCCATAAGTCTGTTAGTGTCTTTTATCGGTTTTCTATTTGGGGGCAGCCAGAAGTGCTAGAAATAAAAGGGAGGCGCAAAGTTGTGCTGACCTACGAGTTTGGGGAAGGCAATATGAGAAGTTTTAGCAAAGCCAGTGGTATAAATATGGTCTGCACTTTTACTTTCTGGTTGCCAAATGTGTCTTTGTTTGCCAGTTGTTAACAATGCAGTCCATGAAGGCAGCATACACCAAGATTTCAAAGTGATGTGCTTTCCTTGCTTGTTTTTTTTTTGTTGTTTGTTTTGTTTTGTTTTGCTTTGCTTTGCTTTACTCCAGTGATGGTGTTTGAATTGACATAATATAACTGGCATGTCCTCTAGTTAGCTTTGACAACAAACCATGAGACTGAATGTCACTTTTACAGCTCTGATTGTCACACAGGGCATGAAGTTAATTTCTGGGTGGAATGGAGTGGCAGGGCTGTGTGCTGGGTAAAAAGCTGGCCAGCTAGGGCCTCTCAGAGTGGAATTTATATTTTCTCTCCATGCCAGGTTGGGAATTTCTTTTCCAAGAGCTCTCACTTTACATGCACTAGGCTTATCTTAAATGATTTCTTTCCGAATAGTAACGTAAATAGTTCAGCTACCTTGTGCTTATGGGACTTTTTTTTGGCATAAAAATAGATGTGTGCTTGCAGAATTTGTTGTAATGGAAAAAATATATGCCAAAGAATATACCTTGTCCTGAATTACAATATGCAGTACCTTGCAAAAGTATTTACACCCCTTGAACTTCTTTACATTTTTGTCACATGACGATATGTTTCAGAGTATTGTATTGTTATTGTTATTAACAGATCAACATAAAGTTGTGCATATTTTTTAATTTGGGGGCATATCTTTTTTTTATCTTTATAAATACTCTCCATTGGCATTACGTCTAAACTTTGACTGGGTCATTATAACACGTAAATATGCTGTTGAGGGTGAACTCTGCCCTCCTCTCCAGTCATCTGCACAATATAATATGAATAATAAGCAATGTACACAACCTTGTTTAAATTCTAGGCTTTATGAATCCTGCATAATTCAAATGACATGACAAAGAAAAGCCTCTGTCTCTCTCTTTTTTTTTTTTAGGAAAAATATGACAAAATAGGCTTGCAGACGTTGAATTAACCTTATTACAAATGTTTCAGGGTTTCAAACACTCCAAATCAAGAGGGAGCACTTTATAAAATGGCCTTAAGTGTTAATAAAATAGGTAACTATTACGGACTCCTCACATTTTCCTGTTGCCTCTTGTCAGGGTATGTCCCCCATCAAACTAGATGTTGCACAGTTCAACAGTTGTTCGCAGCTTCACTGCTGGAGGCTGATCAAAAGAGCTACCATATGCATGGTGTGTGGTTTGTTTAATAGCAATGCAGCTTGCTTGTGTTAAAATGAGCTCTGCTTGGTTTACCCAATTATGTGTTCTGTTTGAACCGACCTCGGCTCCGTCTATCTTTTCCAAAGCCACATCCCCTGCATCAGAACAGAGAAACCAACTTGCCTGCAAAGCAAAACGCAAATTCCCTCGAAACAAACGACATAAAACAGTGCCACAAGGTTTCTTCATCCAAATGGAATACTTGAAGGTCATTTTGCCACCATATTGGAATTACATTTAGTTTGGAAGTTTACTCAACTGTTACTTAATTGGCATCCCAATATCCTGGTAGCAGTGTAAAGAATCCTTGTTCCAATAACATGAACTCTTTGCAAAAATGCAATATCCATAACAGTCATCATGAAGCAAATTTTATTTTACAACACATCTGTTAATTCCCTTTGACACATTATTACATTGCACTTGTGAGCCAAAAAAAGAAAAACATCGTTTTTTTTTGGAGAGAAAGTTAGGATGTTTTCTCAATAGTGAATGTCTATCTTGCAGCATAAGCAGGGCCCCAAGGGAGGCCAAAAAGAAGCACACAGAATATGGCAGGTAGCAGCTGCGGTCGCATGTATCCCACGAGGACGTTTCATTTTGCACATTAAGTAAGATACATTTAAAATGTGTTTGTAATTGTGCATGACATGTGAGTCAGATCATGTAGAGCAGCAGAGCAGCTGGAGTTGCTTACATTTTACAGATGTCATCTGAATGCAGCAACGTAGAACAAAGATGAAGATCAGCTAAGGACAAAGCACCACTGTGCAAACTAAAAACAAAAAAAACTGAAACTCTGAATTTGGTCAGGTCGTTATGACAAAGTGCAAGATTCAAAATTTACTGCAATAGTGTGTGGAGGAGTGCAGCCAAGTCTAAAAATTCCCTTAATACTTGAAGCAAGTGTGAAATGGAACTTGTTTCACCTCCCAATGACACATGGAAAACACACATTTTATGTTCATTTTTGGGAGAAAGGTTCGGAATGTTTGAGCTGTTGACTGAACGAAATGCGTGCACATTTGCCAAACTCTCTGCCAATATAAAGAAAGAGCTGGAACTGCATCCAAATAAAATCTAAGTTGCTCACCAAGAAGACCTAGAGAGATGTGTAACAACAGCACCTATATTTGGTCATTGAAAGGTGAAGTTTTGTTATGGTTTTATTTTGGGAGATTTATTAACCTTGTGAATGTCTTCTTAATAAATCCCTAGAGTGTTTAAGTGTGATTTTTTCCAATAATTTTGCAAAAAAACTAACTTAAAAGAATAGATCATTTTATAGTAACTTTGTCTGCACATTCTTCAAAAGTGATTTTTTTACACTAGCGTCAATTTTTGTAAACAGATGAAGGTACACATGCCTTGGAGTAACCCTTTTAGTTTTTTTTTTTTATTATTATTATTTTAACAACAAAACTACTGATCTTTTCTCTTCTTCTCAGCCAGGTGGGTGAGGTGTGTAGGCTGTCCCAAGAGTCATCATTGCGCCGCTGCAGGACACCAGATGGAAAAATCTGCAGCGGCAGGGGCAAATGTGACTGTGGAATCTGCATGTGTGAAGCCACGGACCCAGGGAAGTTCTATGGCCCTCGCTGCGAGTGCCACGACTGGGTCTGCGCCACACATGATGGGCAAATTTGCAATGGTGCGTACACTGAGCTTCCTCTGCTATTTTTAGCACAGTGTGTAGCAAAACTGTTTATAGTTTTCAAGCTTATTTTTTTTCATATTCTATCATGTTGCAGCCACAAATGTCGATGTCTTGGATAATATAGGATAGACCGGGGGTCTGCAACCTGCAGATGCTGCATGTGACTCTTTAGACCTCCACAAGGACTCTGAGTAACTTTGGCTAAAAATAACAAACATATGTTTTAAAATATAGGTATTAAAAGTTCTGCTTGTAGCATTTTTGCAGTTCTTCACTGAATATTTGCATTGGATTTTCACAACAGAATGACAGTAAAAGTAGAAGTAATGTTAGTTTAGATATTTTTTTTTCTCATTAGGTCAGATAAAGTTTTTTTTTTTTTTTTTGCATTATTTCACACAAATATTATCTTAAGAAAATGTATCCATCTGCTTTATTTTGCGAAAGTTTTCCATTTTTGTTTTTGTTCAAATGCCTTACTTTAAAAAAGACAACAACATTTAGATAGTTTCCTAAACTAATTAATCTGTCTTGCTTAAAAGATCAGGTAACATTGGCAACTGATTGCAGAGGTTACAAAACGCTAGGATAGACTAACACTAAGTAGTGCAGAACTCTAAAGTGTAAGAAAAAGAGCACAAGGCTTTCATGTTTTTTTAAAAAAAATATAAATCTGAAGTGTAAAGTGCATATTATTTACGCCTTTATTCGGATAACCCTAAATGAGATCCAGAGCAACAATATGTCTTCAGAAGTCACTTAGTTAGCAAACAGTTTAGTCTGAACACAGCTGCTCTGGCAAGACCTCACAGGTTTGCTAACCACTATAACCTAATAAACAGCATCCTGATGACCAAAGAACTCACCAGTGGGGTAAAGGCTAAAGTCATAAAAAACTTCAATCCAAACTTATGTTATTACACAATGTCCCAAACATTGTAATACGTGCACACTACAATATTGGAGTAGATATAATCAGCTCTAGAAGTTCAGTTTTAAAAGCATTTCAACCATTTTTCCTTTTGCCTCCATTCTCCAGTTATTTACTACTCTGTGTTGGCTCATCACGTAAAATCCCAGTTACATATTTCAATGTAATCTCTCAAAATGTCTTGCGAACACTTTTGCCCAACACTGTAACTGGACAATAACTTTAGAATACTTATTTTCGAGTGGTGTGCTGTTTAAAATGAATACTGCGCAGATCCACGTGGCTCAGCATATGTTACTACTTGGATGAGGTTTTTTAGAGAGGGTCAGTAAGTGATGCAGCAGATATCCTCAATGTGGCTTAGATCAGTGCAGTTTGGCAGATGGAGTCCCCAGCTGATGTTTAGGATCTGTATCAAACAGCTGCTAGAAAAATGAAAAATGTTTTTCCATGTCATCCACAAACTTGATTTTGAAAGGTAATGTCCTCCCAAAATGTTTAATGCACAGAAATACTTTTTTTTTTTTTTAAATCTTGGTTGCCTCCAGAAGTAGTACCTCATTTCTTTCATTGGCTTGAAGCAGTTTTCAGGTAGACAGTAATACGCTGCTGGCTTGATATCAGACATTGTGATGTTATGAACTTTTGTTGGCGTTGTTTACGAGTCAAGCTAATTCGAGGGAAGCTGGATGCTTTCTATTTGGAAAATTGTTTACTGTGCATCTACTTTGCTGGATTTTATGTCATGATTAAATTTGTCAATCAAAAAAGTGTGCATTTTTCTCCCAGTTCTTTTTTTTTTCTTTTCTAGTCAAAATTAAATATGTTATTTTATTTATAAAAATAAAAAAGCTATCCAAACCAAACTAATGTCAAATTAAATGATTACTGCTTCCTTAAACTTATGAACTAGCTGCTCTGCCCTTTGAGTTAATATGTTGTCATACGAGTTATTTTTAGCCAGTGTTGTGACTATACATGCAAGTTGTGTCTAGTTAAATATTTTATATAATAAGTTGCTTCATGATTTACAAGCAAGGGGATAATATTTTCAAACAGGGTTAAGTGGATAGCTTTTTTTTTTCTGAATCTTCACTTAGAAATTGCCGTTTGCATTTACTTGGGTTATCTTCACCTAAAAGTCAGAGGGTTTCATGACTTTAAAAGCACAAACAAAAAGTAAAACAGAGGGAAACTGGGGACGTATTTGCTCATAATACTGTTGGTTAAAAAGAAATGCATTCAACCTCCCAAAAACAGATTCAGTTTATATCTGTTTCCTGCTCACTTTCCAGCCCTCAATCGACGAATCAAGTTATTTTAATTAAACTTGAGTTAGTGATGCACCAAACAGTGGGCATTGATGGGAGTCAGTCTGTTTTCCTTTTAGAATCAGGTTTTCTCCCCATTAAACACACTGAAAGTGAAAACTCTCACATGCTTGGCATGTCCTATTAGGAACTTTATTTTGAGCTATTTTGAGTAGTTCTCAAGATAAGTTTGTTAGAAGATAAAGCCCAAAATATCCATCAGTCAAGTATGATTGTTGCATCTACTTTAAAAGACACTTTAAAAACCTGTTACTCTCACCTTGAAGCCTCATATTTAATACCTTATGTACTTTGTGTTGACATATTTTGTAATCACTTTTAATTTTATACAGCCAACAAATTCACAGCACCACCTTTTTGGCTGGATCAGTAGATGGCTCTGGCAAAGCTGAAAAGAAGTCTTCTTTGCGCTGGCGTCTTTATAGACTTTACTTCATTTTGTAGAATTAAAAATAAATGTGGCTGACAGGAACACTGCTAATACTCACCTAATAAAGAATAATGAAAAGCAGGACAAGTGTAATGCATTACGCATTTTAAAAGCTTTGCGTCAAAAGCTTTCCTTATTGCCTTAATGCTTTCATAGCAACATAAGGAACTGTTTTGGTCTTTTAGGTTAGGTTCACTTTGATTCTATTTGACTTACTGTACAACGCAAATTTAGGCTTTTACTATTTCCAGTAAGCAGTCGTCTGTCAATCAAGATTCAATGACCTCAGTTACAAAAGCTAAAGATGTGAAGGTGCTTGGCCAGTAATTTTATTAAATCAACCAAGCTGGTAACAGGCAACAATTACAGCAGTTCTTTGGGACCTTTAACAAACTGGTGTATCAAATATTAAGTAGATAAAAGGGAAAAAAAAAAACATAAAGAAGCACAATCACCAGAGATGTGGTCTCTAAACCTAAAAAACTGTCTGTATTTGGAGTGTCAGGTCACTTCAATACTCTCACAGGACCAAAGGTTTAGTCAAACCACACCTAAATCACTGCAGATGGCTTTGTGCATTCATTGCCCACTTTCTTTTTATTGTTCATTGTTAAACACTGAGCTTAACTAAATGACGGCTGCAGTAGTTTGAATGATGATATCGGTTCATTCATGATCTCCTGTATGAGTCGTTGTGCTCTTTGAGTAGTTTTGGTAGGCAGGCCACAACTGGGAAGGTCCAACTTTTCCACACAGATAGATATCATTGAAGTTGTTTCTTATTTTATTTTATTTTTTTTAACCGTTGGCCTTTATGTGTTACTTTTAGTAAATAACTTTCTATAAATGCCACTACCGAATGTGTAAAATACCTACATTTAGCATGATTGTTTACATTTTTTTAAAAAACGTATTTCAAATAAGACAGGTTGCACCCGCTTCCTAAAACTTACTGCATATATGTTTGATGAGATGCTTTGAAAGTTGTGGGAAGAATCCCAGTAAGAAATAAAAATAAAAATCTCCACCTTTTTTTTTCGTCCCTCCCCGTTGTCCCTGGGCTGTGAGTGAGGTTTAATGGAGATATGTGAGCATCCAGAACACGTATAATGGAGATAGGTGTGCATATGGGTGTCTGCGAGTGTGTGTGATTTATTTGGGAAGACAAGTTGGCTGCTGTGAGGAGCTCATTATGGTTCAGCAGTCTGGAGCGAGGCCCTGTTTCATCCTGATAATGGGGTTTCACTCACTGCTACAGAGCACTGCCAATGGAACCTATGCATTAGAAGAGGGATGGATTTTCACACCCACCAAACCCACCCTCTCCTCTGTCTCCCACCACACACACTCTCACATACACACGCATACCGTACAGGATGAGGTTAAAGCTTATACTTAGCTCCTCAGCATACACACGCATAACACCAGCCACATGCTCGCATCCAGCAGTTGCAATCAAAGCCAGTTGAAAAGAAAACCCCCACGTAACCCACCGCATCCCCTTTCACACACACACACACACACATGCACACGCGCGCACGTCCACCACCGCTCTCAGCGGAGCATGCATACACAGCATGCACGGTATGCTTTCAGAGATCGGCAGCCAATTTCTCTCCCTGCGGCTCCGTTATCTCTGGCTGTCACAAAAGTCTGCTGATAAGATCCAATAGATTTTCTTCCTTAGGGATTAAGTGTGTGTTTTTCATTACCAAAAAATGAGCTTTCCTGGCAACAAGATGTTTCACACCCCATATTTGATTCAGTGGAGGTTAATTAGCATCACCTCAATTAAACCAACAGGTCCAGGTGGCTAAAAATTATATTGTGGTTTTTTTTTTCTTATTATTTTTTACAGCACTGAGTAAGGGCAAAATGTATTACATTGTGACTTAAAACGTTAAAGACATATAGGCCAATATGGTTTTCAACTTATCTTTAATGTAAGGCTGCATCGTGAATCATGATTTGACATTGTAGTTGTTCAATAATTCAAGATTTCTCTTTTTATTAAACCATTAGATATTTTTGACTTATATAATAATGTCCTTTCTATCTTAGAGCTTGTCTTAGTTACAGCAAGTCGCTTTATCTTGGTCCTCTGCTAAATCACAAATATTGAAAAATAAAACAAAATTGCTTGTTTATTGTTGTATCTGGATGTTGGGTGTTCTCTCAAGAGTTGACTTGTGTCCAACTGAAAATTGTGGTTGCTGTTGCTGCGATACACAAAAATAATAGAAAAAGAGATTGGCTGTCTGGGAGGGAATGTTGGCCAAAATCAGCCTGGACCTTAAATAGT